AGGGAAGTCAAAAGCAGGTGAAAGATGTTAAGAAAAGCTAAAGAAATGAAATCTGACTCTTGCTTTGGAGCATGAAGTTTAGTGCTTTATACCACTGTGCTCTGTACACCCTGAATCTGGCAGTGCTTGTAAGTAATTGCATGAAAAAAAAGCTTTTAATTTATTGTTTTTCAATAATTGTTAGTTTTCTTCTTGGAGCAGATGGTCAAAGATTTACTTTTTGCATGAGTCTCTCTTTATTTGCTTTGGATTCCCGTTAAACAAAGGAAGATGCTATGAAAAGTGTGAACAGCGGCAGAAGGGACACACATTGTAGGAATTAAATATCAATGCATTTCACTGCTTTCTTACCACATGCTCACTAAGGAGAAACAACATAATTGGCAGAATCCCTCCTTTTTGTGTCTAGGCTTTAAAAGATAAGGACAAAGAAGAAAACAAGGAAAACTTATGTAAAAGCAACTGAGTTTTAAGAGTTTTCTTAGATTTCAGAGTAAGCAGTCTTATTAGTTACAATTTCAGCTGCCTTGTTTATAGCATTAATGTTATTTAATATGTGAGCAGCTGGGATGCTACAGGTAACAAAAGAGTTAAATGAGCAGGGGTACTTATGGCAGAATCAGAACTATCCAAATACATTAAAAAGCATAGAGGTCTTGCTCATATTTTGCTTTGGACAAAGATTAGTAAACCAGCATTCAGGATCACACAGATATCAGGAAAGGTCTGTGAAAAGTGGGGGAAGGATATTTGCTTTGCTTTTAAGAGTAATTCCATTTTGAGCATCTTCCTTTTGTGATCCCTTTGCTGTATCCTTTCCTCTTGCTCGGGAATCTTTTTGCTGAAGAAGCATTTAATAAGCACAGCAGCTTGGTTTTGTGGGTCAAGAGAAATAAAACACTGTGAAATGACTAAAAATACTTTTTGCTGATGTGAAGCTATGATTCCTTTGTATCATCTGTGTGACAAACTCCACTTCCCTCCAGTGGAAGTTGATAAGTATAATTGCTCATAAGTAGAATATCAGGATCCAGTCCTAATAACTATATCACTGAAAGTCTCTATGAGAACTTGAGCCATTTACTCAAGAGACATAGCACCTTCTATAAAATTGGATTGTTTATAACACAATTATGCGCTCATCAAAACCATGTTTATGTGTAAATGTATAATAAAATTCTCCTGGAGTGTGTTACATATCTTTTTATAATAGAGGATAGGTAAACAACTCTTATTTGAGTAGAAAATGGTGGGAAAACTGCCATCTGTTTTCATTGTCGGTATATCTTGGTAATACACTTTCCCTGGAAAAGCTGAACTTTTGGAGTAGCTTTAAATGCTAAAGAGGCTGACTTGCAGCTTCATAGATCATGATTTTTTTTCTGTCATTGCTTGTATGGTGCCTACGGTAATGTGAAAAGAATGGAAATATTAACCCATTCTGATGGGAGAAAATGGAGGAAGAGCATCATTCAGATTTTGCATGCCATTATGAAAACACTGAGAATAATTTAAAAAATAGAGGTTTACTTTCTTATGTGTGCATTTCATGTCCCTCTTTAGAGCCTGATGTGGAAGAGGGTTTTCTCTTGTTTTTGTTGCTGGTTATTTCTTTTTTATTATTATTTTTATCACATTAAAAAGCCTTTCAGGAGAGGCCCTCTGACAAGGGCTGATTTTTGGCAGTTATGCTAATCCACAGCTCCATTTAATACATTAAATGATGGATACAAAAACTGCAAATTCACATTCTGTTTGGAACACATCAGTGTTCATTTTAATTGCAATTTAGTTTTTCTCATTAGCAAGAAAATTTGTATATATTCAGGAGGACAACCTGGAATATTAGCTATGGGCCTCTCAAAAAGATTTTCTATTTTGGCTCCTGTTGTGCAGTTCCTATAATTTTTGGCCTTTTAAAATTTTACTGATGTGGCAAACAAAAAGATTTTATGGAGCTTCGTTTCTTTATGGATCCTACAAACCAGAAACACTTGTTTTATTATCAGCTGAGCTACAAGGCAAATAGCTCTGGCATAATGATCTGTGCACAAACCTGCACAATGTCAATAGCCGTAATAAGTGGTATTCTTCTAACTCAGTTCTGAAGCTCAAATTTAAAAGTAACCATGAATTTAACAGTCAGGGGAATCCTAATGAATTGAGTCTAAACCATAGCTCATTCCATGCAGAAACACATATAGAAAATAATTCAACTGATCTATGCACAAAAATGCTAGTTTCTCTCCATTATCCTTATGAAAGGAACCTGAGATGACTAGATCAGATAATGATGTCTCTGTAGATGTAGACACCAAAGGGAGCTAAATCACAGACTTTTATTCTTGTCTTAAAGAATGTCACATACCTCTATGCATTATTTGATGATTCCATAAATGAGCAGAAGGGAAAGAGGTAGAAAATGAGATTAAACAAGTAAGTCTATAGATGTTTTCAGAGTAAGTTGGAACCTGATTATACACCTTGTTTGGGAATACTATTCAGAACTGTTTGGAAAAAGTAAGAGTCTGTTAGATGTGGTCAAATACTCTAGGGGCTGAATATCTCTAGAACACAGCCTAGGAGTAGAATAAATCTTTTTTAGTTTATTTTTCCTGAGTTTCTGTCATAGCAGATCTTTCACTCAGTGTTTATTCAAGCAGCAGTTAGTTCTGACTTGAATATAAACTGTGAGAGGATCTCTTAAGGTCAGGCCTTCTTGAGGGAAGAGGTAATAATTTAAATACTTGCCACTTGATCAGTTTCATATTTTCATTTGTGATGCATGTGGTGAAGTGTCTTCACAATCCTGGAGACTTAGAAAGAAAAAGAAAAAAGGGTTTCCTGCACTGGTGAATAAGCCAAACAAGCTTTGCTCTTGCCATGAACATTTCAGTAAGCAAAGAGAGTTTTCATAGGCATAACCTAGTCATTTTTTTGCCAGGAGAAATGATTTAGGACTGCACAAATGGGTACATTTCCTGCCTACTGAGGTTTTTCTGGGCACAGTTTGCTGAACCAAGGGCATGTTGTAAAATATTTTTTCAGTAAACTGGTTGACTGGTTTTTCTACTGACTAATAAAGCTATTTTTTTGCAATAGCTACCATACATGATAGGTAGTGAGCTTTTCAGCATAGATGAATTTCATTGTCCAGGGTGAGTATAAGAGAGAATATGTTTGCATCAGAAGAGATATCAAGGTGTCGATGGCATTCAAAACAGATGCTAATATTCTGTCATCCTGTCTGCAATTGCACATCTTAGCAGAGTTTTTGGGCTCCCTATACTACCTGCTTTTACTGATTGGGGCTGACATCACTGAGGCACTCCAAAGAGCAGATCTCCATCTCCTGGGGTTGAGGCAGTGACTGGCCCCTGTTGTATCCATTCATAGTTATCTTCCTCTCAGAGAACAAACTTCGTTCAGCCTTGAGCATGGGAACCTCCTTTTCATGAGCATGGGAACCTCCTTTTCATTGCTGCCTTAAACTGCAAACTGACTGTCTGTAAGTTTGGCAGAAAAAACATCCTCCTAAAAGTGTATTAAATGGGATGCAGACTATGTCCTTGAAGGGCATACATGCGGATACATGCCATTTTCAAATGCGAGGGTCCAAGCCCCATGAGGCTGTACAATTAATCCTGTATTCCCCAGAAGCCTGAGAGCCTCAAGTTTTTAGACAATATGCAGTCCAAATGCTCTGCGGACCAACATGAAATATGGACATTAACATGTAGGGGAAACACCAGCTTATTGGAAAGGATAAAATCTGCCCTATGAATAAACTGAAAGACAGGTACTTATTTTTCAAATTCCCTGAATATTAATCTTACCTAGGTGGAATGAAACTGAGCCATATACTAACCACCTGTTCACAATGCAAGTCTCATCCTGAGTTTATTTTCTGCTGTGTGTATCTATGTCTCTATATCCATATTCACACATACAGAGCACACTGGCACCAATGGCCAGGGTGTAGAGCTAAGATGAGAGTGCGTCTGATGACAACTGGCCTTCTGGGACTGGGGACAATGGCTATGGTTGTACAAAGCATATATTGCTTCCTTTGTGAAGAAAATATAGTGGGTACAAAAAGGTAGTGCATAGTGGGTACATCAGTTGTGGTGTGCATCAGCCCACTGCGGAATTTGTTCTTTAGTCAAAGTACTTTGGTGGCCAAGATACTCTGGATGCCTCCTAATTCTATTGTGGTATCCATCTAAGCATGAGTCTGAATAAGAACTAAAGCAACTAAAAGGTTCTTACTGTTAAAACACTGAGTGCCAATTTTTTTCTTTATACCAGCACACCAAACCAGCAAAAGCTTTGGTGGAGAGGTTTCTTCCAAAGGAAGGAATTTTGCTTCCCACCCTGTGTAAAGAAAAACAGATGGCAGAAGGGAGAGAACAGGTTCCCTCCTTTTGGGATGAAGAGCTCATTTAGAAGACAATTTTGCAGTAATTGTGTGTGGTTTCAAGATATTTCTTCAAAGGTTGGAAGGGGCATGTCTATGCTGAGGACCAGGTGGGCTCTGCAGTATGCCCTGAAGTGCCAGGCTCTTCACTGTTAAGAAAAGGAGCCTCCCTAAGTGCATGCTGTCTCCCTGGGCCCAGATGTATCAGGGCTAAAGTTAGGGTGCAAACAAATCCTGCACTCAAATCCAGGTCCTAGCAAATATTCGTTTTCTTATAACATAGCCATAAAATCTTATAAACTTCCAAGTACGGAGCTGTAGCTGCCGTCTTCTGACAGCTATACTACCAAATAATTTACTCTGATGTAAAGTAGCACAGCTCAACTACCTTTGACAGAGCTCAGCTGGGTTCATCTGCAAAACCATCGCAATTTATGCAGAGGCAGTGTCATCCTTTGACTGCTGAACTCAAAGCTAGTGTTCTATGTCCTTAACACAGCCCTGTTACTTCCAAAATTTGGTCCAGAGTTAAAGGCTCGACCCAACCCCTTCTTTTAATCATCTGAAACTCCTCTCCCTGTAGGTTGCTGGGAATGTCCACCCAGAATGTGATTTTATGACAGAGCTGAAGAAAAAGGAGGCTGAATGTCTAGAGGACCCAGAAGAGCATGGAAATGCAACACCAGCAGGTATCCATGTGTGAGAGAATAAAAGACAGAGAGAAACAACACCTTACCAGAGTCAGAAGACAACCATGCTGCCAATGTGCATGTCCAAGTGTTTTACTTCTTGTCCCACATCCTTGTTCTGTGATCAGCTTTCTTCCATCTACTCCCAGGCATCATTCACTTTCAAATCTTTTTTTCAAAATCAAAAATGGATGGTCAATCCATCTGAGTGAATCCTTGCACCCTTGTCCTATTCCTTCCCCAACTGAATGATATCATGGCACCACATTTGCTCTGTGAGGGCAAGTGGATCTTTAAAAATAGTGTAACCCCTTAACAAATACTGTCATGTGGCCTTTCTTCCACCAACTTTTGTCCCACAGTACATTTCCACTTGTTGCATTATGTCTGAAAACCCACCACATTCTTACACAAGGGATCTAACTAAAGCAGATTAAATAGTCCCCTGGAGGTGTTTGTTTCTCAATATAGAATAAAAATTGTGACTAAATTATTTTTATAAAATATGTAAGGGGTGGAATGTCAAAGTCTAAAAAGGTTTGCGTTTTTATTGTACTCAACTATAATTATGCTTTCTACCTGAGGTTGCAAGAGAGCTTGGGACAAATTACTGTGCTGGCCAGAGGCAGATACTGGAGACACTCTTGCCTTACCATGTCCAAACATCCTTTTTCACTTCATGAAGGAGCCAGGTGATGTACTGTCATGGTTGTACTCCTAATATTGTGTTGCATGCCTGGCAAAAGCATTTCTAAAATGGTGGATGAAGGCAGAGAATTACAAGTTACTGCTCTCTATTTGGATCAGAACATTACTGCAAAGATTTCAGTAGGATCTGAAGGAGCTTATCAGTTCTTTTCATATTTTAACTGTATACATAACTGTATATAATCATAGTCTGTGATGAGGTAGTGAGCCAAAGAACACTGAAATCAATACAGTGATTTCTATTGGTTTCCATAGACTTTATGATCAGCTTGTTGCATGAGTTCTTCACAGGTCTTGTATGGTGGTAGTTTAAGTCAGAACTTAAGCATAGGGCTTTATGAAATTTGTGCTCTGATTAGGGTGGAATGAAATGAAAGGCAGAAGAAAGAATAATGTGATTGTTCTTTAAAACCAAGAAGATACAAATTTTGTCATTGAAATAGCATATGTGTTAGGTCAAATGCAAGACTGCAAACTAATGCTCTTGTGACTGCTTACTGTCTGGGTGAATATGGCTAGGAACAAACTGAAAGCCCATAAGGAGGAAACCATCTTCCAGGAAAGACCTAGATTTGGCAGTTCCACAAGAAAAAAAGACTGCAAAGCTCAACCTATGCCTCACCCAACACATGCTAGTTATAAAAGAGGGATAAGGAAAATCCTTTTCATCTGTGCAGATTCATTTCCTGCCCTGAGATTCTTTGACTTACCCTGCCTCTGACTCATTTATCTTTTTATGGAAACATGCTATCCTCATAGAACAAACTGCTTATTCCAGCCCCTCATCTGCAAAGAAAGGGTAAGCCCCAAGGAAGGTGGGAGTGAGAAAGGATACATTAGAGGGTGAGTGCTGAAAAAAAGCAGAATTCTGATGGAGCAGTGCTTCCCAATCTTCTTCACTAGACATCCTTGCCTCTGATGTGATTTCTTCTTCATTCCTTCCAACTTCTACCTCTGCTACCCCATTTCCCTCTTCTTCCCATTGCTTGTCTCTAGATAAATTAAATAAATTTCTTTCTGACCTGGATGTACACATGCAAAATGCCCTATCAGCTCAGTGAGATACTAATGGAGAAGATCCTTTCCTCCTGGTATAACCTTCATAAGAGCAAAAGATCTCACATTTTTTATTTTCTGTGTTATGAGGCTCTTCGTCAGAAAAAAATGAGTGTTTTTGTTTCAGCTGGGATAGTAAAAAGGAACTGCACAAAGAAAGGCTGGTCTGACCCATTCCCTCCCTATCATATTGCTTGTCCAGTAGAAGATGAGATTCCACTTGACGAAGTAAGTTTAATTAAATAAATATATGTGAATGGTATGCTGATGTTAAAGGATTCCTTTCTATTCCTGAAGACCACTGCGGAGGGAAATTTAGCTGAAGCTGAAATTTCTTATCAAGTGTGGAATGCAATTATAATTTTTCTCTAGTTACTTTTTTTTTTGAGAATTACTAAGGATGTTTTATTATTCAGGAGTACTACTGTAAAAAAATAAAGCCAGCTGCAAATCCCATGCCATCATGCAGTATTGTTGAACTTGCTTGCAGCTATAACAGCTAGAGATATATCACAAAACGAAAATATGAATTCAGACATTTCGATATTATCAGTCAGCAAGATGATTTTGTGGCATCACAACATCAGTACAGCAAAGGTGCTGTTATAACACCACTATTTCAAACTCAGAAATGTCTCAGGATGAAAGCGATTTCTGGTTTCTCATCCTGCCTAGCATAAAATATCAAATTCAACAAGTGAAAAAAAAAACCCTACATCTGTGTAATGCATTCAGAATTTGACATATTTCTTCAGCTAGGTTTGCACAATTGTTGATATTTAGAGGTTATATGTACAGGGAAATATTGTGCTTGATCTCTCATATTGTATAGATGTACTTAGCTTCCTGTAACTCCTCTTCCAGAGAAAAGAATAGACTAGGGCTAGTCAGAAATGCACACAATGCAAAGGTAGGATCCTCAGCGCCAAAGGTCTTGCTCTGCTAAACCAGACCTATCGACCTGCACTTGTAAAGGCAGGTGTGGCGATAGAACCTTTTTGTTGCTGGCAGAAAGTGGTAAGGTCTCATTTTACAATGAGTTGTATTGTCTTCTGTGAGTGCTTGTCTGCATTCATTAACTAGAAAAGAAACAAATAAGAAGGAACAGGTTTGTGTTAACAATTAAACAGTACAGTTCTGTGGCCATGCTCTCATACAGCTTGTTTTACTATAAACTCATCTGCTCATACTTGGGCAGAAAACTTTTAAGCACCTAAAATAAATGAATAAATCCTACACAATATCAAGACTTATAATGCCTTGAGTTGTACTTATGGCTCAAAATAAGTATCTGCCCTTCCCCACAGGGAACTGTACCAACACACTGCATAGCTGCGCAGATCTTGGTATATAAAAACATTGAAACAGGACCTAAGGGAGAGACCATGTTAGGTTTAAGGGAAAGATTTGCAGCCTAAAGCTTATTCTTTCTATTTTCTTCTTCATGTGTGATAATTGAAGTCAGTTTATTTTCACTCAGAGATCATGTCTGGTAGAGGAGCCATTTAAATTGAAACAGATTTTGATTGACATTCTGACTGAGTAACAATTGAGTTTGGCAGCAAGAAAAAAGAGGGGAAAAAAAGACCAACACCATGAAAAAACACAGCTCACAGCACACACACACACACAAAAAAAAGCAAAGGAATAATAAATGGCAAAACAGTAAGTAAGGAAGCAGATTGAAGAAATTTGGAGACACATAAGGAAAGGCTGAAAGAATTCTGTATTCATCATGCAGACAGCTGCCAGAAAGATCGTCCTGTTGCTGTGGAGAAAACATGGTATAAAATGCAGTGCTTATAAAAATGCATAAGAGTTTTTACAATGCCTTCTTTCTTTCTTTATGGTTTTGTGAATGAGCTTCAAACCACCCTGATTAATACATGTTTCTTTACCAGACTAGGCTACGGGATGGGTCTTCAGAAAAGGAACAATGAGTAATTTCAGTTGAATTGTGCTGTGGGGTTAAAAGGGGAAAAAAAAGGGGAGTCAGGGATGTGAGCAGATTGGAAGCACTGAACAAAGCAAAACTACCAGAACCTGTGAAACAGCTGTCATTTAGCAGCAAGCTGTGTGACAAATAATTCTATTCTTTTATAGAAATCCTACTTTTCTACTATAAAGATCATCTACACTGTAGGGTACAGTGTATCGATCACCTCACTCATTATTGCCGTGACAGTTCTTATTGCATTCAGGTATGTAAGGTTATTCTCTAACCTAGATTCCTTTAACAGTTCTTAGTATCTTGGGCTGTGTGAGACAGCATGAGATATAACAAAGTAATATTTATAGATATTCAGAAGAATAAAAATAAAATATTCTGTCCGCATTGATTCAATAATATTAATTGAGGCTAGAAACAAAAAATGACCAGGCATAAGAAGAAGAACTGGGAAATAAACCCTGACTGTCTATTGGCAACTCAGTTCAATACTAAATAAGCAGTAGTTCTTTTTTTCTTGCTTTAGTGGAATAAATGTTTTACAAAACTATGCGTGTTTGCTTTTTATGCCTTCAGTGAATTTTATATTAAGAAGAAGAATATACACAAATAACTTGATTCTGAATAAATGTTCCCTGCATACACTAAAACATTTACAACCAAAGGCATATTTTGAAAGTTAGGCACTCTACATTTGGAAAGATTTCTTTCCAGCTACTAGATATTTTCAGATATAATTTTGGTTGTCTAGAGTAAAACAAATCTATTATTTTCTCATTTAATGTATATTTGTTATTTACTGACATATAGGATTAATTTTATTAATCTATGTTTATTTCTTGTATATCCTCAAGACAAAAAAGAACAGTGTTTGTATTATGCTGTGAGAGTCATGTTTCTCTGGGGAAAGTTTCTTGACCTCTGCTGGCTCCTAGTTCGTGTCTGGAAGGCAACAGATATGTTTATTGACATCCATTCTGACCTCAGGGAAACAAACCAGCCTAAACGAGGGGAAAGAAAGAAACAATGGGCATAAAGAGACTTATCAATAGGGAGGAAAAAGTTATAGTTAACAATGGGGTTGGCATTTGAATTCAGTAATAAAATTCTGCACACTCAAAGTGAGCTTTAAGATTAGGTGATTACTGAGATCACTGGATCTGGATGCAATTTAGCTTTTAATGGAACTCTTTGCTTATGAGGTAAAATCTTCGGGTTCAAAGGAAAATATACAGTTGATGCTTTATAACTCCTCCAAAAGCTTGTATTTAATAACAGTAAAAAATTAATCTGACTGAATTGAGAATTTAAAGTAGATGTGACAAATTGTTTTAAAGCTCTCATCTGCATTCATTTAATTTGTAAGAGTAACTCTGGAGAATTTAGGAAGAATTTTTTTATTTCTGAATATAAGGCTGTCTACACAGGGGTTTAATGCAGTTTAACTCACCCACAGCATAAGGTATAGAAAATCTTGCTAAGTTTTACTCTGTTCATTGAGAAAACTGTTTAGTTAGTTTGGGATATCTCTGCATGTTTGTTCTTGGGAGTGGTTTAGAAATAGTCAGAACTGTAGCAGTAAAGACCATTCCTCAAATTCAGGTTTCTCTTGGCCCAAAATCAATGCCAACCAGAGGCCTGGCTCAGGGATACGAAACACAAACTAAAACTGAGATTCCTGGAATTTGGTAGCATCACCAGGTCACCACCTAATAGCGAAGGTGGTTAAGGTGTTAGACTGTGAGTGAATTGCTTTACATGAGGAAGGTTTTTAACTAGTCCTGCCTGCAAAGACAGCTTAGTGGATGAACGTGTACTTTCTATACATACTTGCAAGTGACTGAGATTAAACAAGAGCTTGTTGCATATTTTAATTACTGCCAGCACAAGTCAGTTAATTGCCTCAGAAGGACCTCTCCTTTTCTTGCAGGAGGCTTCGCTGTCCCAGAAACTATATCCATGTACAGCTCTTTTTTACTTTTATCTTGAAAGCTATTGCCATCTTCATTAAGGATGCTGTCCTTTTCCAAGAGGAAGACATTGATCATTGCAGCTTCTCTACAGTAAGCATATGAAAAGCAGGATACTGTGGTACTTGATGTTTTTGCATATGGTCTATACATGGTTTCAATTTTCATGGCTTTTTCTACTTACCTTTTTTTTCCCCTAACCAGATAATGAAAATAATATATTTCTTTTATTCAGTATGTTTTACCTCCACAAGTAAGTGCGTACCTCATGTCTTTCGTTTTTGAATGCATCAATTTGTAATCCTGTAGTTCTCTACATCAGACATAGATTTTGCCATAGAAAAAAAGTAGTATCATTACACTGTTACAGTTCCATAATTTAAAGATTAAAATTGGCTATCTGAGTACCTCATAGCACAAGTTTTAAGAGATGATGCTTCTGGAAATGTTTGATTTCATGTTCTGAATAAAACCTCTGAATTATAAACTGAAAAACATGCAAGGTACTAGGCTATCGATTTAGCTTTGATCCAGCCACAAATACTGGCAATATGGCAATGGTTTTCAGACAAAGGTTTATGGGATGATTATTCTACATTCACAAAAATTTAGAACCGAACGTTAAGTAAGAAAGTGGGTCCTTGAACATTTGTTGAAGGCCCACGGAGCATTTGTCTCTAGTCCCATAAGGTACACTGGAGGCAGTACATTCATGGGAGAAATCACATGCTATATTACTAACATAGAGACACAAAGCAAAATGGAGATTCATAGGTATTATTATTTTTAAAGCCTTACTTTTCAGAAAATCATTTTACATTTTAAGCTCTCCCTTTAAACATGCATGTAATTGTGTAGATCTCAGCCAAAATTACAGATGACTACTACAAATCAAGCACACATATCCACAAGTAACGCTTTTATTATAAATTTCCTGTTCCTTAGACTGAATGCAAGATCTCAGTTGTTTTCTGTCACTACTTCATGATGACCAATTTCATGTGGCTGCTAGTAGAGGCTCTTTACCTAAACTGTCTACTACTCTCATCCCTTTCTCATGGAAGAAGATATTTTTGGTGGCTTGTTCTCTTTGGTTGGGGTAAGTAAAACTTTTACATGAGATTAATAAAAGGCAATATGTTAAACAAGGTTCTCATTAAAAATACTGGATGTGGAATCTAATCTGCCCAACTGAAGTGCCTACCTTGGCCATTACTTTGACTTTATTTTTACATGCGTACTAGTGAGGAGCAATCAAGATTTTTAAAGTATGGCATTAAAGTTCCTATGAGATAAGTGGAAAATTAAGTACACTTGAGAACCCAAGAGGGTGATCCAGTCCACTTAAACTTCTCCAGTTGAAAGCACAGGTATCTAAGGAGCTTTCACAAACACCAGTTAGGAACACATTGTACCTATTCATGCAAAGTATAGTTACACAGTCTTCCTGCGAGAATGGATCCCTCTGGAGTCATAGCAGGCATTTGTATGGTCTTAATATTGTTATAGCCCATTTTTTGCATTGGGCAATTTTATGAATAAAGGAGATCTATCCACCTAATAACAGTGCAAGTAAGACACAGCAACATTCCCACTCCTTTTTGTTGTAGCCTGCAATAAATCTAATTGTTTGGTGACTTAGAAATCAGAAACTTAAGTGGCTTCCCAAAAAGAGTTGCTGTGTCAATCTAAAAACAGAAAACGTGGCAGGTGAATGCATTTGCCAAGGGGATTTTTTTGCTCAGTTCAGGAAGGCAATCATGCATTTTACCACCAAAGGCTAAGGTAGGCCTGGCAAATAAGGAAACAATCATTTTGGGTATTTTAGGGAGACCTCAAGTGACATTTGAGGAAGGGTTAAGGTGGACTGCTTTATATTCTGTGTTTGTAAAGTACTAATATTACTATTATTTTAAGATTTGGTAAATGATATTCCCCAATGTTTTGTCATGCAAAAAACACCTTTATTAAATAAACCCAGGGTTTAATGTGCTATCTGCATGCAAATGCTAACTTCATGTGAAATCATACAGATGAATTGTGTTCATGTTAATAAGAGGTTGTAAATTTAAGCCTCTGGCAGAAATACATCATGTACAAAGTGTCTTCTATGCCCTTTATATCTTCACAGTGATGCATGATCACCAAACAGTTAGCATTATAACTTGTTTCGTTCCATCATGGGTATTAGGAGATTTCTTTCTAGTTTTGTACTATAAGTTTAAAGTAATTCCCATTACATGAACAGGCCACAAAAGGCAATTCCAGTTCAGAAAAAGAATTACCTATCTCATCACAGCAGAATTTCAGTGGAAAAGATTTGGATTGTTTGATAAAACTAGACAATCACAGTTTTTGTTTAAATGTCTGACAGGTTTTCCAATGCTTTTCACCCTTATATGGATATTAGCAAAATTCTACTTTGAAGACACAGCGTAAGTCATTGTTTCCTACATTATTCTATACTCGAGTTATATTTCTAATTTATCTCAGTGATTGAATGCACATCTTTTTCTAAACCTATTGTTGTTTTCTCAGATGCTGGGATATTAATCAAGGGTCTCCTTACTGGTGGTTAATCAAAGGACCTATTATAATTTCTGTTGGGGTAGGTACTTCTGAGTTTGCCAACATTAATTAGAAGAAAAAAAAACTTTAAAATCTGGTTAGTGTTTGCTGAAGTGTTGTTTAAAACAAGGAAAAGGAATGGTAAAATTTCTACTGTAAACTTGCCTATGTCCAATGCAAACTAAAAAGAGGCAGAGAACTGACAACCCCACAAAACAATATCCTACAAAAAAATTAAAATTTTCATAGAGTTGTTACTATGGTTGAAATCAACCATGAATTTTAATATGAAACTTTCAAAGTCAGTAAGTTTCTATTCTTTCTATAGGTGGTAACAATGATAATAACTCTTGAGCCTGACATTTATTGAATAAGCTAATGAGCTTTAAATGATTATCATGTATGATTACTTCCACATGTCTTTAAACCCAAGCAGTGTTTAAGGAAGCAGGTAATGGATGATCTTAAGGCCATCTATTAAAAGCTCAATTTAATTGGAGGACAGATGCATACAAATAAGGAATATATACACAAACAAGGTAAATGAAGAATCTCAAGTCGAATTCTGGTCATAGTGTGCCATATTTCAATAAAATATTATATTTCCTTCTATTACCATTATTTTTTCACTACTAGTGCTCATCTGACATCCACATGTGAAGAGATTCAGGGGGTTGCAGTGATGATTTTTCTGCTGGAGTGTACTTGAGACACCACTGCTGGATAAAAAGAGATTGGACTTTCTGGTAAAATGCGGACATTGTTAGGCAAAACTAAGCATTCAGGATCAGCTAAGAAGAGCTGATGTGTACAGACACACAAAAATGCATGGGGAGAAACTCTCTAATTGTGGAAAACTGAGCAGTTTCACAGACTTTAGTAAAGCCGTGCCAAATTGCAGTTGTAGAAAATTTGCAAGTTAGGATTAACCCTACCTAGCTTTGGAGCTAAGCTAATGCTCCTCAGTTTTCTTTAGAGTCAATAAAGAGAAATATGCACTCTTGGTATGTGATTTGTCTGACTTATAATAGATGCTGCCTTCAGAGGAGGTGATTCATCCTAAACCCCACCCGGGGCTGCATTGACTCTGCTGGCTGACTCTCCATTGACTACAGAGGGAGAACAGGGTGACCAGCTCAGATGCAGGCATATCGTTGTACATACTTATATTTAGTCAGATGAATTCTATTAATAACATCTAAAGATACTACCCAGAATTAAATACAGTAGTCATCTCAAAAGAGATTCAAAATTATATGAGCTACAGAAAATTAAAAAATCACAAAAGCTATTGACAAAAATAATTTCCTTAACAAAGTCGAATTCTCAAGTTCTCATCTTCGGCTGTTTCCCTAAGAAGGAATGCAAACAATTCAGATGTTTGAATGCTTTCAACAGAAATTATATTGATAATTTTACACTGATTTCATTGAAACTGCTCAAATTGCATAATAACTGAAATTAAACACCCAGAATTTTGTTGCAAAGTTTTACATTGGAAAGTAATCTTTTATTTTCTTTCTCTCTTTCTTTTTTTCTTTTTCTTTTTTTTTTCCCAAAATATTGTGAACAGGTCAATTTTGTCCTATTTATTAACATCATCAGAATTTTGCTGAAAAAACTAGACCCTAGACAAATCAACTTCAATAACTCTTCTCAGTACAGGTAGTGTATGGAAGAATAATTAAAAAACTCAATTATTTTAATAAGAAAAGCTTATATAATCTTTTCTAAACAGAGAAGCACTTGTGCAGTGCCAAAGGCTTAGTTCGGCTAACATTAAATTTTAGAAATTTCCAATCTTATCCCATTCCCAAGAAAACTATTCAAAGGATGAAATTCATCTTACTTAATATTTGCCATCTAAACATGATGTGTTCAGATATCTACCTTCCAATTACAGTTAATGGGGACACTAGGAAACCAATCACTGAATCCATGTTAGACCTCTGATGTAGGGCAGGATAAATTACCCTCTGTAGATGTCCTTTCCTGTACTTGGACTATAAATGGAGGCTGCATTATTTGTAACTAGTTACAAATAAACATCAGATTTTCGGTGGAATTGATAAGTCAACAAATGTTCTAGTTCTTTGTGATTTCCTGAATAATAATCTCAGACAGACAGAATGCCAAAATACCATAAAAAAGGCCATGAATGTGGTATAGCCAATAAAGCAATGAGCACCAGAAATCTATTTCTAGCTCGTTTCTCATTATGCTTTCTGCCTGGCACTATATTTCCAAGAGATATGAACTTCACTTGTAAATATTCAGTTCCTCTTTTTAGCTTCTGCTCATAACTGTGGCATATCACATGCCTCATTTTTTACTCAGGGAAATAATATTACCTTACTTCTTCTCATGTCCTAAGCTAGACGTCTCTCAAGGTCAACTCTGCTTCTAATTCCATTATTTGGAACCCATTATATTGTCTTCAACTTTCTTCCGGAATACACCAGCCCGGGGGTTCGGCTTTACTTAGAGCTCTGCTTTGGATCTTTTCAGGTAAAATTACTTCAGAGGCTTCCTTAGTAGATTTTCTAAGTTAATCCTGTAATACTAGTGTCCACATGACAACTAGTATTACACAAAAATATACTGGATCCTGAAGCTAGTGTCTCCTTACAGATGTAGCAGTTCTTTGCTGAGTTATGATATCTGAAGATGTGACCTATGTTTCAGCTAGCTGTAAGCTAGAATATATATTTACAAATTTTTCAAATACAAGGCCAAGTCTTTCAGATGCATGTGTAAATTGGGTGATGGGTAAATGTCGAGCGCGTAAAACCTTCTTTGCTACCAGTGACAATCCACATAACATCTCTGACTTCACTAATAAGATCAAGATGATTTGGTCTGGTGTTAAACTATCCAGGGGCAACAGAAGCTGTAAGTACAGCCTCCTTGCTAATTCTTTGTCAATGAGTAAATTGATAGGCAAACATATGAAAATCAAATAGTGCCTGGTATGCACATCAACCCCATGCAAACCACTGCCCCTAGGAATGCCCCAAGAGTTTTCCTTCTGGGTAACAAAAATTGGTGTACTTTGAATGCCCCCAACTGGTATGAGTTGGCACACAGAGCATGGACAACTTGAGGAGCTTGGTGCCATCTAGAACAGCTACTGGGGCTGCTCTGACAGACCCTCCAGGTGGCTGTGCTACCTGAGTTATGAGGAAGGCATCACTCAGTTGCCCCTTGCTTTCCTCCCTTTCCCTGTGCTTACCTCAGTCTTCAAGAAGCAGCTGTGGACAATCCTACCAAACTTCAAAGCAGCATACCTCCCTCTGAATGGTTGGATGGCATCATTTGCCAGAATTCATTACCAAAAATCCAGCAGTTATGCTGGTATCATCTTCTTGAGGATTTAATCCATTTTGTCAGTCCTGCCCTGAACATCTCAACCCTGACCCTCTGTACCTGGAGCTGGCCTTCATTTTGTTAATTAACATTGTATGAAATAAGTTAACTGAATAAAAAGATGAGGTGTCTAGCTGATATCTGATCACATATGTCTATTGACCTCCTACAATTTTCCTGTGTTTATTTCAGTTCAAAATCTGAACAAAAGTATTCATTAGGCCATAATTTGATCTCATACTGCAAAGACACAGAAGTTGACTGAAAGCTGTATGAGCTCCATACATGGACCTCCTTATGGACTCTGTTTCCTTACTGATTTATACCATGTAGAGAATTAGCTCACAGTGTGTTTGGCCATAGAATGGACCATACTTTTGTAAGCATAATGTGGGAGAATGTCAATTGCCATGTTATCTGCTATTGTGAATTCATATCATCTTACTGACTTCAGTGAAATGCCACTAACTAGTTGATTATCTGGTTGAGCAGATTTACTGGAGATAAAGAATTTTCCAATTTATAACAATTCTCCAACATACAGTGATACTCATCATGAAGTCAGCTAGTGCAGGAGGCTTTTTAAACTGTGCTAATATTCAACATTTCTATATTTTGGTTTTGTTTGGTTTTTTTTTTCTTTTCTCAGGGGTTTATTGTAGCAGTTCTTTACTGTTTCCTGAACCAAGAGGTAAGGATAAGGAAACTATATTCTTTACAATGTTGCTTTTCCTGGCAGATACATAGAGTTAATAATCAGTTTCATACAAGCAGATAATCAAATCTTTTAGTTCTTAGGATTGTCTGTTAACATGGGAATCAATGAAGATGAATTTAATTTCAATTATCTTCATGAGAATGAAGCCATCTAGCGGAGAAATGAGATTTTACTACTTTTCTATTCCATCAAGCATTTATTTTTAACATTATTTTAGCCTTTCTGCACATTTCTGTACTATAGCAGGGCTTGGAAAACCCATGCCAGGTCCGGATCTGAAAGTACAAGCTGCTGCAGTGATTCAAAGAGAACTCTATTTACTGAAAGTCAATGATTAAATTGGAAAGAATTTAAATTTATGCTTATTGCTCAATACTGAAATATTAGTTATTATTTTTTTTTAATATGCTCATGAAGCTTCCCAGTATTACTTCATGTTGATAAATCTGATTTAACATTTAGAATATGTAAGTCAGAATTTTACTGTTAATGGGACAGGAATGATTTAATTTAGCTTAGTCTCCAGATCCAGTTGTATAGTCTAGATGTTATGATAAGAATGCACCTTGAATGAATTATATAAGAAAAAAACAGTTTATCCTCCGTATTTTAGAATGGGTTGAAACCCTGAAATTTCCCTCTTTTCTGACTACAGGGTAGCTGAGATGGCTATTTTAGAGTATGACTGGGATTCAGTTTCAGGCTACACTGAAAGTCTGCTGGTTTCTACCTGCAGCTCCTAAAAAAGGAGAGTTCTGATTCATATATACCATTCTACAGGGCATCCCCTAGTGTCAAAGGTATGTTTAAGTTGTGAATCCTACCCCTGGTCATCACAGTCAGTGAAATTCAAATGACCAAGTGCAGTTGTTTCTGTTAGAGGTAGCTGACCCATTTTAGACTCCATGGGCTGTATTGGCTAAATCTCTATTTTCCAAGTTTAAAGTCTAGGGCTGATTAAGGTTTCAAACAGTATTTAATTGTCTACTTGTGCCATGGTCCACATTTTACTTAATTTTGTCACGAATTTCTGAAATACTAAAAAGAAATCATCTTCAAATATAATAACCTTTCTTAGCCTTTTGGATTAGTTTATGGCTATTGAATTGTTGATGACTCTAATGATGCTTGTGTTCAGTTAATACTCCTGTTAGTCTATTAACAATCCTAATCTCTCCTGATGGTAGACCATAGTTTTACTTACATTCAGCTTCACACCTCAGACATACAGCATTTCATATAGAAATTTCCTTCATATTAAGCATCTGGGAAGACACATTTCTAATAGGAATCAGATGTGAATGCAGATCTTAGGGCTTGCCTGGATCCACTGTGTGTTTCTGTGAACATGCCAATGAGTAGTATATCATAGCATAGTCATAGAATGGTTAGGGCTGGAAGGCACCTTAAGATCTTACAGTTCCAACCCCCCAAGCCATGGGCAGGGACACCTCACACTTGATCATGTCACCCAAGGTTCTGTCTAACCTGGCCTTGAACACTGCAAGGGATGGAGCATTTACCACTTCTTTGGAAAACCTGTTCCAGTTTATTTTATTTATATATATATATATATGCATATATATATCTGTCAACAACAGAAAGAAAATGTCTTCTGATTGCTAAGGGCTTTCCACTCACCGTCTTAAACACCATAGTATTATTTCTCAGCCACAAATTGGTGAATGTTGGTTAAGAAACTTGCAGATTATACTTTTCTAGAAGCAGGTGGAAACAAGACAAACATCCCTTAGCAACTGAGGAAGAGCAAGCAATGTGGAGTGAATGTGTTTAATTGTGTAAGCAATGTAAGTGAGAACATTACTAGAATACATTTTCAAGGGGATACTTAAAATAAATGGGAGAATATATAAAAAAAATCCTGAGAAAATATTCTAGTGGTGGAGAAAATGCTTTACAGTGCTAGAGATAGAAATCTCAAACTCTTCCCATTTCTCAGAAGAAGATTGAGGTGATGTGACTATGCATAAATATATCAAAATGTAACTCCTTTGATGGAAGAAAGTTTCTTAGTGTTAATAGACTTTTCAGTTCAGCAGAGGAAGGGGAACTGAGGAAAACCAGGTAGAAATTGAAAACAGGTTTGTTAAAAATGGAAGTGAGACGTATTTAACTATGTGACAGGTTTAATAATTAACTTCAGTTTTGGGTCCATGGTCACTAAGATATCGTCAGACCCATATAAAGTATGTCCTTACTTCTTATAAGGAAGAATGGATTTTAATCCTTTCAATGTTGGAGGCTAAGTCTGAGCTAGCCACGCTTGATGTTTTCATCAGTGCAGAGGGATCGTCACGTTGAGACAGGTCAGATGAAGCATACTCTGGAGGATCCTACTTTTCTCTGCTAGCTAGAAAGAGAGCCCAATGGACTGAGATGTCTAAATTTTACCAATATTTTTTTTTTAGCCCCTGTTTTTGTCTTTCCTCTTTCCCATCAGTCTACTCCCAAGCAGTATTTGACCACAAAATCGCATTCCTCTTTCCTTTTGAGGTGCAAACGGAAATTGGACGGAGGTGGCATGGTAACAAATATGGACTTATGCCAGTGTGGAGAAGGACAAGATGGACTGTGCCATCCAGTTCTGCAGTAAAAATGACCACGTCTGTGTGCTAAAGATGGCCTCAGGATCTGGAGTAATCACATATAAAAGCTTAATTAGGAAAAAAAGTAACCAACCAAACAAACCAAAAAACCCACCACACATAATAATTGCAGTTTATACTGAGCAAGTTGGAGGAAGGTCCCCTTCCACAGCAGTTTTTTCCACTAGACAAGCATTTCAGTGACAGATTAAACACTGACTGGCCTTCTAAACAGCATCAATATACTACGCATCACAGCAAACACAAATATCAACTCTTCTTGGTTAACTTCCTGTACACTTTCACCGATGAACCATACATAATATAATGGCATAATGTGTCTAGAGAGTGGACACCAATAGTACCCTATGATGACACCAGAGATGACCAGCCCCGATAACTGGAATTCGATCCTCATGCAACGGGAGATGGAGTCTACACAGCTTGTTCAAACTTTGTCCCTTGTTTTGGTTCAGTAGAAATTCAAATAAGAAACCAAATGCCCTGTTAAACAGCAGCACAATGACTAAGAAGTCCTCTGATATTGTCTTTTTTTATTGTCTCTTTAAAAGTTTCAAAGTTCACAATAAAACACAATGCAGTTTTATGTTCTAATGTTATTTCAGTAGCTGCATGTGAGAGAATTTCTGATACCAAAGTAGCAGTAAGTAGAAGTGTTGGGAAGGACAAGGCTCTGTAAAATAATAATTCAGGAATTACTGCCTTTTGCAAGTAAGTTAAAAAAAACCCCAAACTTTTGCACAGAAAGAGAATGAGACCCATGGAAGACGGAATAGGCCATTGCTAGGAATACTGCTAAGTACTTTCTTATGTGTGAATGTTTTTGCTCTCCAGTGCTGTAAAACATGCAGAAGCTTGAAAATAAACTCTAGTTCCCAGTGTTTGTATGTGAAGGCTTTTGTTTATTTGGTTTGCTTTTGTTTGCTTTTTCCCCAATGGTTGTTGTGATCTGCAGATTAACGGTTTGATAAACCTTTCTGATGGAAACATCTGGGCTTGGAAGGGGGTAAAGAAAGCTAAACTGAACCAAACAGTGAGGACCATTACACCAATACAGTTTCACCCTGCCTTTCTGGACATTTCAGATCCTATTAAACAACAGAAATTATAACATACAGAAGTGAACTTCCCTTCCTTTTTCTTTTGCTGTATCCAGGCAATTGCAGCTAACCTGAAGAAGTGGAAATTATGTCATCTAATTTTCATGTAAAGGAGATGAAGGTCTCTATCAACTAGAGTGGAATCCAGAGTAATAGCTTAACTAATATATCTAAATTTGACTCATCTCTACTCATACATGCTTAGATAGAAGATTTCCTACAGCTGCTGCATTTCTGTTGTATAATTAGGGTTATTAATAATCTGTGAAGTGGTAAATTTACTCTGGAGACCATCATGCTCCGGAACTGGAAGATAAAAGAAGAAGCAATAAGAAAGAAATAATTTTCTTTTTCTTCTGTTGAACAGACCAACTGCACTGTAGGGGGAATACTTTTCTGTGGGATAGCTGAAACTGGAAACAGAACTGGCTAAAATCAGAAGATGTGACTCTCATTACTATATCAATAACAGTTATGACTAGGCATGATGTGGATATTAAGGTCACATTACATTTTTAGCAAATTCAATCTTGAATATAAAGTATTAAGCACAATTTAAAAACTTAATTCAGTTTTTCAGGAAGTGAATTGCATTGAATTCAGATAATTTTTACTGAACTCAACGCTAACGTAACAGCATGTGCACACTTATTGCATAAGATCATGTTTCTGCAAATTCTTGCCTGCCACATGCAAAGTTTGATAAAACAAGTATGAAAAGTGTGAGTAACAGAAACTCCTTAACCTTTGAAGAATAAATTTTGCTAAGTATGATTTACTTTCGCTTGGAGTGGGGCCAAAGCAATGGAAAACTGACCTGATGATAAAGAATCATTCCCAGGGTGTGCAAATTGCTAAAGGGTTTGCACCGCAATAAGTCAAGACAGAAGTAAAATACAGCTTCCATGTGTGACAGCTGTGATTCTCTGTGATCAGGACAAACAACTAGAATGGCACCTTCAAATTATGAGTAGAATTCGCCTCTAGCTGTTGTAGGTAAACAAGGTTAGGAAATTATGAAAGGGTGAGACAGTGCCTCCCCTGTTCTTCCCAAGTACAAGATTTATCTTCATAGCTCAGATTGATTCCCAGCCAGATAAAGTTCCTTTATCCAATGGACTGTATCTTCATGAGCGCTGGTATATATGAGTGTGGTACCAGCACACAGGAAATTTTAGAAACACCTTTTTTGGTAATAGCATTAAGAGATTTTAGAAACTATATGGGCATCCCCACCTAATCCACACTGAGTGCATTAACAGGTTAAGGATTTTCTCCATCTCCTTACTGAACTGGTAACAATAATGTGTAAACCAGAACACTGAGTCCAAATCAACTTGGTGGGAAAAAACACATTCTCTTTACATTGTGTTAGCTGTACTTTTCTATTCAGTAGGGTCTAAAGTAACAAGGTAAAATTTTGTAAGGCAACATGAAAGCATTTTAAAGGATAATGAGCAGTGCCAGTCTGGAGGCTGGAGGTTTTTCCTTAGAAAGTTCCATCACTCCATAACAATACTGAAAGCCTTGACAGGTGTGCAAAGTTTGCATTGATTCAAGACAAGGTCAAAGAAATAACTGAAAACTTGGAGAGTGACAGAGACACAAGTGGGTTGGAACCCAGCTGGTTCTCAGGGAAGCAGAGTATACATCTCTCCTATGTTTGCACTCTTCCCAAGGTGTGAGTTTTGGCCACCATCATTGATGATGGTATAGGCTGCTCTGGTGGATGAACGAACAGTGCTGGTCAGAAAGTTGTAAGTGAACTTTCAAGGAAAATATCTGCCACCTTTTCCAGCAAAAAAAGTTGTGTTGCACATGCTAGAAAATAAGCTGGGGAGGGGGGATTAAAATGCCATATTATTACTCTGAAACAGATCAAATTCTCTTTAGCTGGGAATAAAACCCCTTGCATGGTTTTCCACTGAGGTGAGAGGGAAGACACAAACTGTTTAAGAAACAGTGGGCAAGACAACCTCAGTATTACTTTATCCCGCTTCTTGTGAGGACATTGTAGTTCTGTCCTCAGTTTCATTCCTGTCTAGACTGCTTTATTTCTTATGACCTGCTATCCAGTAATGAGGCTATTTATCCTACAGATTACAGGTTAGTTCTCTGTTATTCCCATATGAACTCTTTATATATTTATTTTGGGCTAAAGACACACCACGACTCCACTAGATGGCAGCCGGGATCTTCACAGATCTCTCGCTGGAACAGGATTATGTTTTTGACAGATTCCCTTGACACATACCAATTAAGATATTCCATTCAGTGGATGACTTATTTCACCGTCTTTCCAGTGACACTCTCAGCATTCAGAATAGCACTAATGGAATTCACTACTCATCCTATAGCCAGGACACGATATGTTTCTTTCCCTTTCAGCTTGCCTGGTATTGCTGAAATGACCATAAAGGCAGCTGGTGGCCCCTCTGCAGAATAGTTATATGTCCAGTGTTTACACTGGACATCCCAAGGCCAAGGAGCCCTTGAAGCCATCCTGTCAAGGCTTTTATAAGTTGTGAGACTGTAAGTGTGGATTCAGGCATGGATGTAGCTAATACTCATCTCTGAGCATAGTCTACAGGCTCCTGGACCACCAAACATGACTGGAGAACAGCTTGCAGGCTGTTGGGAAGGCTACTGTTGACTGGAAGCTAAGTGGGATATGTATCATTTCACTTTTACAGCCATGCTGGTGGAAGCATCTGGGAGGATATGAACTTCTGTGGGGCTATTCTCTCCCATTTGGACAGATGACGGAGAAGCAGGCAGATGGCAAAGTTGACAAAGCAAAGGCTGACTCATTTGGCTCTATTAATCAGTGCATTGGAACTAGTGTCTGAGTGAAACCAACTCCTGCCAGAAGATGGGCTCTTTCAAGCTATAACCCATCAAGCAGCAAATGTGGATTCGGTGCAAAAGCCTGTATTTGAGGTACAGGCAGCAGTATTGCTCCAGTTATATAGAGCTCAAATCAAGATTTAAAATCTACCTGTGATACCAAGAAAAAAAAATGCATTAAGTGCTGATATGGGCTTAGTGCCACAGCTGCTTGGCTGTTTACAGTTGTAGAAAACTCATTTGTGGGTATTCCCATGGTAGTTCAGTCACTTGGTTGTGACAGTTCTCAATGCAGCTGTACTCAGCTCAAAAATTATATAGGGGACCTTTTTCTAGTATTGTGACAAAATATCAATAGTTTCCTGCTTTTATTTTGGTTTACTATAACATTTATGGCATTTTAATACTTTATAATGGATTTTAGAAAGAAAACGTTGAAAGCTTGTAGTGACCTCTGTGAGAATCAGTTTTGGTAAAAGGGCTAGACCTGAAATGCAGATGGATACTGATTCTAGTAGGTGGTTGTATAGCTGTAGGGTTCTTTTAAAAATAATGTTTTTATTGAGTGTTTGTGTATAGCTGAAAGAGGAAGAATGAATAAAAAGAAAATTTTAAAGCTAAATGAATGTTAATAGAATTATTTCCCACATACCACCATCACAGATTACAGAGTTGTCATATTTTATGTGAGGGATTAAAACATGCCATTCCACTTCTGACTAAAAATAGCTTTTTCACTTTCCTTCTGATAAAGAAAAGGCTGCAACAATGAAGGCATTGGAAACATCAGCTTTCTTTTCATTTCATAACCAGGGATAGATGGAATATTTTGGAACATAAACATTTTGTTGAAATATTAATATTTTAATACAGATTTTACAGTCTAATATTTCTGGAGAGTCATGGCATTCTCAGGTAAATGTCTACACAAGCTGTGCAAACAATCTCAACCTACTCACATGGTTAATGCTGCACACATACTTAAGTCTCTTCCTGGAATAGACTAACCATATTAATACAAAGCATGGGATTTTTTTTGT